CAAAAGTTGACCCACATAAGATGTTCCGTCATGATTGAGAAATCTGCTTTCGATTCATTTCAGGGATCTTTGGGATTCAAAACGCTTTCGAAGTCTTGCGAACTGATCTTTTCAGCTCCTGCGTACGGAATGACTTATTTCTACCTTCTCGATGTTCCTTGGTATCGACGCATAATCACGCAGTCCGTCGGACATAGTTGTCGCAATTCTCCAACCTTCTGCGAGAGATAATAATTGCAATCGCAGTCATGAATGAACAAATATGTGCTTAAGGTTGCTTAGGTCTATTTTTACCAAAAGGAGTTATCAAGGCCAGTTTCCCTCAGACAACGTCGGATTTCGGTCTTCTTCATTGTAGATAAAGGGATGAGAGAAGGCTGTATTGTTATGGGCAAAGCTGTTACTTCTGCGCGAGAATTCCTACTCTTAAAACGTAGAATGCGTTTCTTACGGACTTTGGCAGCTAATATCACACGCGAAAGCGCTAGGGACTCCCTCCTTTTTTCGACATCACTACAGATTCAGAAGCCATGCAAAACATACATCTACAACAGTTTTTTTTTTGTTGACGCATGCAAACATACTGGAAGTGAACGAAGAGTTTTGCCAGCTTTTCGATATCTTTTTTGTTATATGGCCACAGCGTTGATTTGGATGTTCAAAAATCAATTATTCACAACTACCAATTAAACTTGCATGAAAAAACTACTTATCGTATGTATCTCAAATGGCAATAGCAGCAAATATTAGCAACACTGTTCTATAATACTAAATTTTCAATATCACTACTTTCTGCGATTTCTACAAAACCCAAATTGCGCGATCAGAATCAGTTAACGTAACGTACTATCTTTCATCTTTCAACGAGATATTTTGTTGAATGTTGGAATTTTAGCTAAGATTTAAAAGAAAGTTGGGATCATTTGTATGAATATAAGTTAGCGTAATAGGCACATTTCGATTACTGTACATCTGTAATTAACGGCTTCTGTTGTCAATGTTCTCAATTACCAAAGACAAAGATCCTCTTCGACCTAATATTGCTGTATGCTAGATTGCAATTTTACCATCGCTCTTATTAAACTAATCGCATCAGTAATTGTTACGCTTTCATCATAAGCGTATTTATTTGTCAACTTATTCGATTCGGTCTAATAAAACACCAGCAAGTCTTACCAATTGATTTTTTCGCTGGGTATCTCGATTTGACAAAAAATTTCACGGTAGCCAACTGAATTATAACATTCATTGTTGATTTTTATAGAATCTTAGATTTCAACTAAATTTGAACCAAC